GATGCGATTGCATCTTACATGTCCGCGACCCATATCGAAAATCTTGGCGGCCAGTATCGCGAAGATCTGGATGGCGAAAAATCTGTAAACCTGGTTGCTGTCGTGCCGTCCAAGCACGTTCAAAGCGAAGGCCAGGCGATCAAGACATTGCCCTTGAGAGCAAGCGGGCATTAAACGTCGAAATTGTCGAAACCGCCTCATGCGAAAAACTTGAACCGGTATGGTAGGTTCGCTGCTCGCCTTGCATTTCAATCATGGTTTGCAAAAGCCCGTCGCNTTCGGTGAGTTCATCTGGCTCATATGCGGCCGAAGACTGACCAACAGAGAATAAGACACGGCCATTCTCGTCATCACATTCATATCGCGAAAACAATAATTGCCCGTCTTTCGCATCATTTGCGCAAGTATCGCTCCATGAATTTACAGGCGCCGTGTGTTCCCACGAGGCGACTGACACCAAAGTCGTCGTGTAGCCGGCCCAGTGTATAGCTTCAGAGACCTTCGCTTCGGCTTCGGTGACATCGGTCAATCGACTGAATTCATCCAGCGGGATCGTGTTGACCAGATAGTCTGCTTGATAGGCCACGCCATCATCAGTCAATATCTCAACACCGTCCTCAAGCCGCTTAACCCGCACAGCCTTCTGGTTCAGACGCACGTTGAGCGATTCCGCAAATCGGTTCCAGAAATGCTGCCATCCACCTTCCGGCATCACTGTGAACTTGATCAAGCCAGTGATCAGCATATCGATATCGACCCAGCGCATCGCATGCACCAGCGGCACGCGATCAAGGTATCCGTAGCCGATCGATGTCACGACACGGTGCATCATGTTCTCGATTTTGCCGAGATTTTGCGATTGCAGCCATTCACTGGTCGGCATCGACAGGACCGCGTTGACACCAGGATCACCTTTANGCCCGGTGCCAGATTTGATATAGTCGAGTAACTCCTGGTCATCGATCCGCTGCGCCTTCAGATAGTTGCGGCGGATGCCGAGCTTCTTCATCTGCTTAAGCACATAGCGATGCGACCAGATCGCATAGCATGTTCCGAATTCGACGACGTGATCGCCAAATTCACTCGACAAGCATTTGCCGCCAACTTTGCCAGAAGCCTCAAGGATTGTGACATCCTTTACGCCGCGATCTTTCAGCATTCGGGCCATTGTCAGGCCAGCCGGTCCACCGCCCAAAATAAGATAAGATGCTGCACGCATGTGAATGAAACTCTTTCTGAGTTCTGGACTTGCAACTAATTCG